TTTCCTTACCTTCTCAGAATGGTAGTGTGCCGGCCACGTACACTTCCTCTTCTGTCTCATCTCCCCTCTCAGGACACAGGCCAAATTCTTCAACCAGACTTAGAAAGACTCTATCTCAAGGTGTGGTTACTCCATGGCTCTGAGGACCTAAAATGCCTGCTCAGAGGAAGTACAGAATATTTTATTAAATAGCTGCAGAACACTCACCCATCACACATATCTACACAAATGGAGACAATTTGATAATTGGTGCCAAAGAAACAGCGATCTCTTTGTCCTTACCTCTGATACTAGAATACATGCTGGGGCTTAAGAAATCTGGCCTCTTCATGAGCTAAGTCTCGTGCACCTCTGAGCTGTCACAGCGTTCCACCACAAGGTGGATGACTTATCCATTTGCACGCACCCAATCACCAGTGCTTTCTCAAAGGACTCACCAACATTGACCCTGAAGTACGAACCCCTACTCCATCATGAGATCTTAACTTAGTCCTTAGAGGCATCACCAGACCCCCATTTGAACCATTAACAACATGCTTCCTCCTCCACCTTTCAATGAAGGTGGGATTTCTCATCGCCATCACATCTGCCAGATGGGTGGGAGAACAAGGGGCCCTCACTATACCCACTATACACAATATTCTTCAAAGATAAAGTTACCCTAAGACCACATCCTAAATTCTCACCTAAGGTCACCTCCGCATTCCATCTCATCCAACCCATTCACCTCCCAACATTGTACTCTAATCCATGGGAATAGATGGGAGTCAACACTCCACATGCTGGACACCCGCAGGGTGCTAGCCTTTTACATAGACAGAACAAAGACATTCCACAAGTCTCCAAAATTAGGGATGCCAGTCACTGAATGATCGAATGGAAACACCATATCCAACCAGACACTGTCCAGATGGATTTCTGAATGTATCGTATTGCGCTACATCCCCTACGATTTTCAACCCCCGACAGGGATTCACACCCGTTCCACCAGAGCTTTATTGGCTTTGCTGGCATTTCTTAACAATGTACCAATTACAGACATCTGTAAAGCAGCAACTTGGGCCTCAGCCCATATATTTACACAACCCTATGCATTAGAACGTCATGCAACATCTGATGTAATATTCAGATGTACTGTATTTATCATCTGCCATGACCTCAACTCCAAAGTCCTTTCCTTCAGCTGAAGGGCACTGCTCGGAAGTCACCTAAAATGGAGCACCCACAGGGACACTCCTCGAAGAAGAAAAGGTTACTTACCTTATGCAGTAACTGAGATGTTTCAAGATGATTGTCCTTCTGGGTGCTCCACTACCCACCTTCATCCCTCTATTTCAGAGTTTCACACTGAATGCTTTGCAGTAGAGAAGGAACTGAGAGGAGGTTGGTAGCACAGTGCTAGATAACTGTCTAAGGCGGCATGAGACAGCAACTGCACGTGTGCAATCCAACCAGGCACTGCTACCACAAATATTTTTTACAAGCACAGGGTCACACAAACACCTAAAGTGGAGCACTCACAGGGACAAAAAGTGGATCAAAAAGTGATGAGAAATGTCTCGCCCTGCTAAATATAATTATTATTCACAGCATTGATTTACCAGTCTGGTATGTTCTTATCTGCATCGGTCTGGACTATAAGGTGATCGAAAGCTGGCTAGATCATCGGGCTCAACAGGTAGTGATCAATGACTCAATGTCTAGTTGGCAGCCAGTATCAAGCAGAGTGCCCCAGGGGTTGGTCCTGGGGCCGGTTTTGTTCAAAAGCTTCATTAATGATCTGGATGATGGGATGGATTGCACCCTCAGCAAGTTCATGGATGACACTAAGCTGGGGGGGAGCTAGATACACTGGAGGGAGGGATAGAGTTCAAAGTGACCTAGACAAATAGGAGGATTGGGCCAAAAAAAATTTTATGAGGTTCAACAAGGACAAGTGCAGAGTCCTGTACTTAGGATGGAAGAATCCCATGCACTGCTACAGGCTGGGGACCGACTGGCTAAGCGGCAGTTCTGCAGAAAAGGACCTGGGAATTGCAGTGGATGAGAAGCTGGATATGAGTCAACAGTGTGCCCTTGTTGCCAAGAAGGCTAATGGCTTATTGGGCTTCATTAGTAGGAGCATTGCCAGCAGATCGAGGGAAGTGATTATTCCCCTCTATTTGGCACTGGTGAGGCCAAATCTGGAGTATTGTGTCCAGTTTTGGGCCCCCACTACAGAGAGGATGTGGAAAAATTGGAGAGAGTTTAGGGGAGGTCAACGAAAATGATTAGGGGGCTGGGGCACATGACTGATGAGGAGAGGCTGAGGGAACTGGGCTTATTCAGTCTGCAGAAGAGAAGAGTGAGGGGGGATTTGATAGCAGCCTTCATCTACTTGAAGGGCGGTTCCAAAGAGGATGGAGCTTGGCTGTTCTCAGTGGTGGCAGTGACCGAACAAGGAGCAATGGTCTCAAGTTGCGGTGGGGGAGATCTAGGATGGATATTAAGAAAAACTATCTCATTAGGAGGATGGTGAAGCAGTGGAATGAGTTACCTAGGGAGGTGGTGGAATCTCCATCCTTGGAGGTTTATAAGGCCCAGCTTGACAAAGCCCTGGCTGGGATGATTTAGTTGGGGTTGGCCCTGCTTTGAGCAGGGGTTGACTAGATAACCTCCTGAGATCTCTCCCAACCCTAATCCTTTATGATTCTCTGATTCTAATCTTTGAGACAGATTAGCTGAACTATTCCTTCTAAGCACAAAGTGTATTGCAAGTCACAGGGACAGTAGTGGTCTCTGAGGTACCTGGCATCTAAATCATTTAGGGTTTCTTAAATAGAGGCCAGCACCTTGACTTTCACCCTGACAACAACCAGGTGTAAGACGATCTGATCAGTTTAAAAGGCTTTTTGCACTACTGTAGCGAATGCTTTTAAATGGCCTTCAAGTTTATACCCTCATAGACAAAATTGCAGTAGTTTAGCATTGATTAAAAATATATATATATTTGAAGATTGGACTCGAGCAGCTTATTTTTAATCTCTCTATCCTTTTCCTCTCCCTGCTCAAACAAAATATCTTCATGCAGCCCCAACATATTAATAGAACTAGTTTTTGATGCAGAAATCATGTTATTGGTCACACCCACATTGTTCGTTCCTCAAGATACTGTATGAACTTCCCTAAATATGTGCATGTGCCACAAGCTCCCCCAACACTGTGTTGATACGTACAAACCATTACCCTTGCTATGAACCGTAAGCCTAGCTGAGTGAAATGTGTGTCCTTAAAGGCAGCCTATTTACACGCAAATTAACTTTCTCGTCATTCCTGTGGATACCACAAAGCTATTGTACACTTTTCTCTTAACAAATGCATTGCAAAAGGCAGGTATTGAGATGTGTAACATGCAGCAGTATGGTGATCTTTAGTTACTATGCTGTATAACATGTTTTACAAGCAGCATCAGAAGATAAATGTATGTGGGCCTACTATTTACCACTGAGATATTTTCTACATTAAGAAAAATCTATTAAAATACTGACTGCGTTCTCTGAAGGATTTAGCAGTTGCTAGACTGCCAGTCAGCCAAGGGTATACAAGAGTTATTGTCATTTTGATTTTCAGATGAGTCATTTGGTATATTGCCCCCGAAGGCTCTTCATTATGATTCAGTGCACAGCATATAAAATTGCTTAGGCTTTCTGGGCTTCATGGAATCAGAGTGGGGGTTGCAGTTGCTCAGCATTCTGAAGCAGTGGCTTTATGTTTAATTGACACCTTTGATGTAGCCCTAAGACAGCACCTGCACCTCCCACTGCTGCTCTGAAGACGTCAGCCTTACGCAGAAAAGGCTTCTGCTTATGAGTCCTGCATCTCATTCAGCTCACTCTGTGAGCAGCCCTAGCTATCCTTAACTAATCCCACCGCTTCCCATTTTTGCTCCAGCTTGGCTTAGTACAGGAAAAGAATTGTTGTGCTTGCTATCATCAGGTTAAACACTAAGACTGTGTCCATGTTAGAACTCATAGAAGGTAAGTTAAATGCCTTATTGATACCTTAGTATGTAAATATTCATATAAGATTGAGAATTCAGGTGTCTAGTTGCTTATTTTTTTCTGAAACTGACAAATATGGATTGTTAATATGCCAGTTGTTTATTTAAAGAGTGTGTGTGTGTGTATATATATGTATATGTGTGTGTGTATATATATATATAAAAAAGCATTTCTTTCTATGCTTTAGTAAGTTTTTAAGAACATTATTGGCATCCTCTATGTGATTATTTTGTAGTACACTATGATTCTCTTCAGGTATTCAGTATTTGTTAATTTTACAGAGCATGTCATATAAGGCTGAAAATGCTTCTAAAATTAAATACTTTGAAATATTTTGAAGGAACTTAACTATTTAAGAAAGTGATGGTATGGTATAATGTATACCTGAGATTTTATGGCCAGTTCTTTTTTTATGTCTGAAGTCCATCCGAGTTAGTTCTGGGGTGATGTTTGGGTCAGATAGTAATGCAAAAATGCCTTCAAATAAGTGAGGGATTAACAGCAAGCTACAGTGATTTCTTCTTGCAAGCAGTGCTGCTTTTTATTCCTAGTTCATAGCATAGAGAAGCATAATTAAATGGGATGAAAGGGATTAAATATAGGTAATATTTGTTAAGGCAAGAAAGCATTATGGCTTTCCATGATATGCATGCATAGGCACTATACAGTTTAATAAAATTTAATGAAGTTCATCACCACTGACTTAAACAATCATTTTAGATTGGCTACTTTTTTGTTTAAGCACTGTATAAATCGGCAGTGTGAGAATCACAGTGCTAGAAGAGCAGTTCATTTCTGCACTACCTTATTTAACATTTACAAATCTGAAAAGGGTGAATGGGTACCTTAAGAAAAAGTAGATAGAATTAAGACATGCTTATTAATTATTTTCCTCTGATTTTACTCTGTAGGTACCATGAGCCAAACATTTATTTCTGTATTTATTTATTGTTCTTCTAGTTAATGGAACCCCTGGTAGCCAGCTTTCTACTCCCCGGTCTGGGAAGTCTCCAAGCCCATCTCCTACCAGCCCAGGAAGCCTGCGAAAACAGAGGGTAAGGAAACAAGGAACTGAATTTTGAGACTGGCTGAGCAAGGATCTGGCATGGGTGCCACCAAAATTGCCTTCCCCAAAAGTGTTTATTACACCTAGCCAGAGGTATGGGGTGGAAGAGCTTGGCTACAATTCCTGTTGTGCCTGTGCAACACTCTTAAACAACTAGAATGCAGCTGCTCTCCATCTTTCAAAATATTAAGTGTGCTGGGTAGTGGGTTATCTTTAAGAAGGAAAAAAGAGGTCTTTCCTCTTGCTTTCAGAACACTTTTATGTCTTTGTTTTTTGTCAAGCATTTCACAACTGGAGGGAAAGTTAGACCTCCTAAAAGTTCCATATTTATTTATTGGCACCCCAGCTTTAATTCTAAGGTAAAGTGAAGGAGTGCTCTGTGGAATTTAGCTATATTGTCATGAAAATATACAGTAAATTTTTGTTTGACCAGCCAAAGTGGCTCAACATCAAGGCAACAGCGGGATGTATTAGTGCTTTGGAGGCCCAGGATCATCAATAGATTTTCAATTCCTTTACCAAAAAACTAGGGTGACTACTGTACATAGTGTACCTAACCATCATCATATTCCCTCTAGTCTGATGGTGGTAGCTGTGTAATTGCTGTAGTAATCCCTGTGTAACAGAATATTTTTGGTTCAACATTGCATTCTCATGTGGGCCAAAGGCAGGTCAGTACGTGCACAATGATTTAATTAATTGCATTAGTGCAAAGAGAATGAAACAGAAGTCTATTGATCTTCTCTTCTGATATTTTCTCAACTGTAGTCAGTGGGCCTCAGAGAAATCATCTTTGAGTCACTACATCATGTCTCAGATTGTCTTGCAAATACAGTTGGACTCAGGTTTTCTCAGCCTCCTCCAATTTTAAATAAACTATGAGTTAGCTTCCTGTCTCTGTGAAGTAGGGAGTTATAAGCAAACCTGACAGTGTGTGAGTCTAAACCTAATTTTAGTCAGGTTTTGGATTATTTGGAACACAGGTAGGTAAGAACGTGAGTTACATTTGGTGTGACTTGTTCCTGAAGCCCTCTCCTTGGCAGCAGTGGCATCTTGGTCCTTTTGATCTGACTCCCAAGGTTTATTGGATTAATTGTTAGTAAGTCGCTTGGGGTGGGGGAAATGTCATCCGAATTCGCTGGATTTCACAGTGATGATATGGGTCTCCATCGAGGTGGATGGCATCAGCAGCAGAAAGGATTCTCTCATTGGCTCTGAGGCCACCTATTTTCCCTGGTACATCTCAGTCTTCTCTCTCTCCATCACTCATGCTATTTTTGCATCACGAAAAGCAGAAGACATTTTCTCCTTTTCATGACGTTCATTGGGGGAGGGTTGAAAGGAAGCCATGTAGTCAGCGCCTTTCCATGCAAAGTGCATCTCCTCTACCTGTTTTTGATTTCCCAATGTGGAGCGTAAGGGACATGGATTCTTCCTATCCAGTACCTCTTCTTGGGAAGGAGATACTGCAATTACACGGGGTTTTAAACATTGCATGGTGATGGTGGTATGATCAAAATATTCAGCAAATTGGAAATTTTCTTTTGAAATTCAAGATCAACTAAAGGAGCAATAACTCTTCTGTAAAAGGGTCAGGTTCTGCCCTCAATAGTTACAAGCAGTCCCACTGATTTCACTGAGAGATGCATGCATTCCTGTGGGCAAGAAAGAGAAAAGGGTATGTGAATGTGGGGTATACACATGTGCACGCTATGTAAAGATTGCAAAACCCTGTATTATGTGTTTTTATAAAGAGACAAAATGTGTGTATACACGTAGAAACATATATTACATTACGTGCAAAAAACTACATTAAAATGTTATTTAGATTGCAAAGTCAAACATTTTAAAGTTAGGAAATGCAAGAATTATGGTGGCCTGTGCATCTAACTCAGCTCTGTTGGGTGTCCAAACTGTGCATCTAACAAGTCCTGTGGCAAAAATACTATGTGATCAGGTAATTAAAGATCATAATGCACAGACACAAGGGACAAATTATGGATCCATAGGCAACCATAAACTGACATTTTATAACTTTGAGTGCTGGACTTTACATCCTAAATAATCTTTTAATGTAGTTTTTTAATGCAATTGCCTAGGATTGCTTTTTTAAGGAAAAGTGTATGAACAAGTTATTTTATATCTGACTGTAACAAACTCCCCTTCATGCATCAATAGGGTTTGACCCATGAGCCTCCAGCACTGCAGCATAAACTGCAGCCATTTGAGCTTCAGGTCTAACTACATTAGCCAGCCATAGGAAAAGGTTGTTATCCCAGAGTGAGGAGATGGCTTCTAGTACTATGTGCTGGGATCACAAGGTAGTTGAGGGGAGCCTGGTCTCACACACACACACACACACACACACACACACACCTCTCTCTCTCTCAACGATGCTGGAAGGTGGGGGACTCCTGTCCCATGTGGTGCCCTTGTGAGGTGGACATGAACTGCTTGGACCATGTCCTGGATCTAGGTGGTTTATGGGTGGATCCCAGCTAGGTCCTCTCTTCTGCTTGGGAGATGGGAGAATTCCTGCCCCAGGTGGTGTCCCCAGAGGGCAGATGAGACACTTACACTATGTGCTCCATCCCCATCGGCAGGAGTTAGGGGAGTGCCTGACCTATGTCTTGTTGCCAGGGGGATGCTGAGCCAATGTGATGTGCTGGGTCTGGGAAGGGAGAGGGTTTGTCAAAGAAATGCCAGCCTGGCTCTCCACCCAAACCTCCTTCCAGATACATATGTTCTGGTTGCTCTTTTGTGTTGCTAGTACAGTGTCCGCTGCTATGGCAGTAGCCTGGGCAAGGCTATTTAGAATGTTCAGTGATTTAGGCAGGCTGCTAGAATTGTCCTGCTGAAAGGAAATGGTGATTTATAACACTTCGGAATTTAATGGTACAAAGAAAAGTCACCTGTAGCTTGAAGAGTTTCTCCCTTTTGAATATCAAAGACCTGATGCAAACTATAAGGGTATTCATGGTTCTCAAAGAAAAGATCATAAGAATCTTTTATAATTGAAAGTGTTGGGCAACCTAGGTATAGGGGTCGCTACCATCACCCCCTTATATTTGTGCATATACTTTTAAAAGATGAAATCTTGGCCCTGTTGAAGTCAATGAAAGTTTTGCCATTTACTTCAGTAGGGCCAGTGTAACCCACACGCCTCCTGAGTGTGGTGGTCTGTCCCATCTATTGACACCAAGACCACTTAGAGAGAGAGATAAAATGAGTTTGTTCTACAGCTTTAGCTAAGAGCCAGTTGGCTTTTAGTTCATGCAATAGAGGCTCATACACTAAGCTCCAGAAGTCCCAGGTTGAATCCTGCCCGCTGACAACCGGGGTCTGTCAGTGTTACACCAGGATTTCACATTATTCATGAAAACCAACACTAGCAAAACCATTAGGGATATAGTTTTAAACATTCAGAAGTCAGGAAATGGAAAAGCAAGTTTCACCCTTACCTATCATATATCTGGCTCAATCCGGTCTTTCTGTAGCTATGCAAAATCCATTGAAATCAGTGAGTGTTGTGCATTAATATCTCAGGGTAAGTTTGGGCCTACTTCATAGGGTAGTGACATTGAACAGTATAGCTAGCCGTCCAGAACAATTCTATAGGTGGGACATAGACTATTTAATATTAACAAGAGATCATTAATTTTGCATTTCCTGACTGTCTCAAATTGAAATCTTAATGTTACAGTAATGTAATGTTTTAATAATTAAATTTCAACAATTTTGAAAGTAGAAAAATGAGATTAGTATTTTAATATTTCTATTGTGTACTTCCACAGCTGCCAAGTTGAAAATCTGTGCAATTTAGGAATGCCACAATGGGGGCAGGCACTGTCTCTAGGTTCTGTGTTTGTACATCACGTAGCATAATGGGGTCCTTGTCCAGGACTAGGATTCCCAGGTGCTACAGTAATACAAATAAATAAATAAATAATAGCAGAAAAATCATATCCTCTTTAACTCCTTTTGATACTATTTACATTTGTTGTTCCATAGTGTTGGTAATAATACTATTACTTTAATCTTAGCAGAAGTTTTGTACCATGCATGTAGCAACCTAATTTTTCAGTTCCTTAAATTATTTTAATTATAGTTTTGCTGAGAGTCGTCCGCAGTGAGATTAATCAAGCTGAAAAGTTTTAAAATATAAAGTTCAGGAATTTTTTGTGGTGTTGTGCAAAGAGGTCTTTATCTTTATACAGCAGAAATGTGGGATTTTTTTGATCATAACATAACAAAAATTGGTGAATACATTATCCAGAACATTCTTAACCTTTTGATTAAGATGGTGCACAGGAAATTTTACTTCAGTGCTAGCAAATAACAAATGTTTGTGGGTCAGCAAATACACTGGGATTCCCAAAATTTCAAAAGTTGGATTTAGGTATGCCTTCCATGTGAGCTGTGAATGAATTAAAATGCATGGAACAAAACAAACTTTATTTTTGTGGCTATTCCTTAAGTTCAAGGAGTCCAGGTGAACATGACCCTAAAAATCTGTTTGATTAGAAAGTTTGGTTAGCTTTCCTGTCACGGGGTTCACTCACCACTAGGGTTGCCTAGTCCTGGCAGCTCAGGGGATCCTCTCTTTCCAGGTCCAACACCCCCTTCTGCTGCTCATTGCGTGCACCTCTCTATAACTCTTTGCAACTCAGGGTGCTCCGTCTTCTTGGCTTCTCTCTCTCCTAAGTCACTATACTCCTTACTTTCCAGGGTATCAAAGTATTTCCTAACAAATGGTTTCAGGCAGTCTTCTCATTCACTGCCACAATGGTGCCTCTTCCCCAGTGACTGGTAGGGGAACCCGGGCTCACCCTTTATTCCAGGTTCCAGGGCGGGGACCCTCTAATCAACAGCACCAGTCTGCCCTATCCTAAACCTTGGTGCCTTTTCCCTAAGCCTCTCCTACACCTACTATCTCGTGCTTTCTCTGAGTTTGCCAGCCCAAACTTCCTCCTCCCAGGGAGTAAATGC